AGGAAGGAAGGAAGGAAGGAAGGAAGGAAGGAAGGAAGGAAGGAAGGAAGGAAGGAAGGAAGGAAGAAATCTCACCGAGTCCACTTCCTACAGACTTTCTATCAGTCTGACAACCCTGAGTCTAAATGTAGCTGTATTCACTTATAAATGTAAGCAAGACACAAACCAAGTGAGTAACTCCGAGGTGCTTAGGGATACTGTGTCCATTGCTGTAGTGGTTTCCATGGCTTCCCCACTCCTTGGCCCAGTGCTTTGCACTCTGCGGGCATCGCATCTCTTTACTCTGGCTTTGCACCTGCCGCTCCTGCTGGATATCAGAGCTGAAGGTTCGTTACCGGACTTACACACCTCCATGCTTGCTGCTTCACCCAACTCCCCTCTAGTGTCTGGAGTCAAAACCAGCTTCCCCCAAGCTGTCCGCTCCCGGACCTCTCGTGCCTTTGCTGTACCCTCACCTCCCACAGAGCTGTCCTGAGGCCGCCTGCCTCACGTCACCTCCTCAGATCTCAATGCAGCTGGTGGCTGACAAACCCAGTTCAGGTGCTGGCTGGGCTTCCAGGAGGAGCACTGTTACTGATTCGTTTCAATGTGGGGTGACAGTCAAAGCATTTCCCATGCGGCAATAAACCGAGATGGAGCAGAGAAAGCAGCTGCTCTTTAAAGCAGTCACGTGATGATGAAGACTTGCCCAGCATTTCACAGTTGTCAGGTTTCCGGTACATATTCAGTCACTCGTGACCCGAACATCTAATGTGTTCCTGATGGGCCTGGGACCCTGTGAGCTAGGGAGAGCTGCAGACTTCTGATCATTCAGTGTGCCTTGTGACTTTATGTAACAAAGGCTTGTTACTGACTCTCTACTCCGTAACCAAAGAACATCAAGGCCTTAGGATGTCCACTCCAGGACCACAGAGCAGCAAAGGGACCAGCCAGCATCCGCAGCAGGGATTCTGTTGTTGTTTCCACCCACCATGTCCATCCTGCTGATCATTCTGCACCTTCACTGCCCCCATGCCAGAGAGCCAGGAAGGGAGATGGTGGCATGAGGGATATCACCCTCTACCTGTTTGCTTCATCATCAGAGTGTACTTGTCACTGGGACAAAGTATCTGACAAAATTGCGTAAGGGAGGAAGGATTTCTTCTGGATCAGGACCAGAGCCTTTAGTCCCTGCTCAGCCAGCTCCCTTGTGAGGAACATCATCATGGAGGAAGGGCGTGGCCAAGGAAAGTTGCTCATCTCACAGCAGCCAAGAGAAGCAGAGAGAAATATAGGAAGAGGCCTAAGCTCTCGCCTTTCAATAACTTCCCCCAAACAACCCATTCTTCTCCACCAGGCTACACCTAGCACAGTCCCACTGCCTCCCACACACCTGTTCGCATTTTGAATTCATTCATTAGGTCCAAGACTGTGCTTTGTTAACCTCTTGGTACAGTCAGGTTTTTTTTTGTTTGTTTGTTTTTGGTTTTTTGGTTTTTTGGTTTTTCGAGACAGGGTTTCTCTGTGTAGCTTTGCGCCTTTCCTGGGACTCACTTGGGAGCCCAGGCTGGCCTTGAACTCACAGAGATCCACCTGGCTCTGCCTCCCGAGTGCTGGGATTAAAGGCGTGCACCACCACTGCCCGGCCAAGGTACAGTCAGTTTTAAATCAAGATCAGTCACCTCGGGTGGCATCACAAGTCTGTGGGGAGACACATACCTGTGAGACTGTCTCACATATCTGTAGTAAATCTCTCCTCTTCCACAGAGGAGCCATCACAAAGATCCCAAGTTTTTTCCCCCACTGCCATCTGCCATGATCATCCTATCAGTCATTGGATGGTAGTCCAAAGTCTGAATGAATGAATGATACCAACCATGGCCTCTAAGACATTCTGCCCCAGATACTTCCAAAGATCAGGCTCAGCCCCTGTCATGACATGCCACAGTGACTCGCTCAGTTAAAGGCAGGTGTGCAAACCCCAAGCCACATGCGTGTGTCTTCACAGGCCCCATTAGAAACACCTAGCAGACTAGACTGGTGGGGCCAGCATGGAAGGAGAGTGTGAATGCAGTGGGAACTGGGTAAGCATTAGCTCCCCATTAAAGGAACAACCAGATGTCTTAGAACCCCAAGTCCTCCAACCCTGTTCTGTCATAGCCTCCACCTCAGAAGCAGCAGCACCAACGTGGCTGAGGAGGAAGGGTTGGGATCCTTGGCAACCCAACCTATGGGCCACACTGAGACGGGGTTCCTTAATAACTTCCTCTCAGGCCTGAAAAGAAGGCAGGGAGGAAATTTGTGTCAACTAAACCCATTTCCCTTTTTCAAAAAGGGAAGACCACACCAGGACCATTACAATGTGTGTGTTTCGTTTATGGGATGAGGGCAGGGAGCTGACCAGAAAGACTAGGGATGTTTAGCAAAGACCACGCTTTTGGAGAAATCAGCTCTCTTTGGAAGCCACGGAACTGTCCAAGGTACTGACTTCTCTAGTTTCGGTTCACTCTGGATTCTAGAGCCTGTTGGGGGTTTGAGATTTGATGACCTACTGACCCTCCTCCTCCTCCCCTTCCTCCTCCCCCTCTTCCCCCTCTTCCTCCTCCCTCTTCCTCCTCCTCCTTCCTCCTCTTCCTCTTCTTTTCTCCTCCTTCTCCTCTTCCTTCTTCTCCCCCTTCCCCCTCCCCTCCCCTCCCCTTCCTCCTTCTTTTTTTGCTGCCTTCCTTCCCTCCTTCCCTCTTTTGTTTCTTGCATTTTTATTTTTGTTGGGATTTTTTGTTTGTTTTTGAAGTCTCACACTATAGCTCAGGCTGGTACAGAACTCACCGTGTACTCCATTCTGGCCCGACAATCCTCTGGCCTCAATCTCATGAGTGTTGGGATTACAGATGTAAGTGACTACATCCAAGTGTGGCTACCTTCATTCTGGCCTATGGTAGATACTCAGATGCTTGGTAAGGTGGTCCATATCTCATGCATCCCACCCCAAACTGACAGTACAAAAGGCACAGGACTTCTGGTCTATTGTCAGAGCTCACACCTCTGTCCTCCCTACATAAAAATCTCATCTTAGCCCTATATACCTATTTGCAGGTATGTAAATCTGAGCCCTATATATCTATTATTTCTCATCTATTTTCTCCTGGGGCTTCCATCCCTGTGATGTCTTCTTCCATCTTCCTTCACTGTGTGTTTCTCACAAAGAACCTTCTAGAGTCCTCTTGGATGTCTCTGACTTCATGCTGTACCCTTCCTTCCAACCCAAGAAAGTAGAGGCTCACATCTCTGATAAGAATATTAGGTCTGCTGGGCAGTGGTGGTGCACACCTTTAATCCCAGCACTCAGGAGGCAGAGCCAGGTGGATCTTTGTGAGTTCAAGGCCAGCCTGGCCTACAAAGTGAGTTCCAGGAAAGGCGCAAAGCTACACAGAGAAACCCTGTCTCAAAAAAAAAATCTTACTGGATCATTTCAAGAGTCAAAGATAACATTTCTTTCTAGTGTTGTCCAAGCTTACACGTGGAGGGAGGGGATTCCTCTTCATTGGTATGATCACTCTTTAAACAAATGATCAGTCCAGGACCTTTACAGCTCTAACAACCCCCCCATGATTTAAATGTTGATATCAGTTTTTAAAGCAGTGACGGTTGGCTAGCCAATGTCGCTAAGTACTTTTGTCAGTCCCAGTCTATGAGTGATTGACCTCATTGCTTTGTACCTGTGACAAGATGGGACATCATGGCAGGAGTTTTTGGCCGAGCAAAGCCACCCATATCAGAACTTAGGAAACAAAATAAGGAGCTCTCCATCCCCCCATTAAGGGTACATCCTCACATATCTGAGGAACTTCACCAGGTCCTACCTCCTAAGAGTTTCCACAACTTCCCAATAGTACTACCATGGGAATCAAGCCATTAACCATGGGTCTTTTGGGAAACAGTTAAGATCCAAACAATGGCAGATAGGATTGAAGCCATGGATAAGGCTGAATGAGGGAAAATACAGCTCAAGCAGAGCCAGAGTGGCTAAGTGAATGTTGTAGAGAAGTCCAGCATTTGAGTTGGATAACTAAAGGGAAGGAAGAGGAGGGGATGGAGAAATTATCTCTATAGTTTTGACTTCTAAACTAGAATGTGTTTGGGAAGAAGAGATTCATCTAGGGAACTCCACTGCTGAGGACTGCCCACTGCTCCTGAGAGCCCAAGCTGTGATGTACCAGTTCTTACTCCATAGTTTCTTAGACATAAATTGAACAGAGGAAATAGGAAGTAGCATTTGTTTTCAAATAGTGAAGCCATTTAAAGTTTTTTAAATGTTTCTCTGGGACTGGAAAGGTGGTTCAATGATTAAGAGCACGTGCTGCTCTTACAAAGGACTCAGATCCAGTTCCCAGAACCTACATGGCATCTCAAAACTGTCTGTAACTCTACTTCCAGGGGATCTGATACCCTCTTCTGGCCTCCATGTGCACGAAGCATGCATATGGTATACTATCATACACAGATGCAGGCAAAACACTCACACACATAAAGTAA